GGGCAAGGCATTTTCATTGTGTCAAAACTCTGCTCTGTGGAGACAGGATAAATTTTTCTGCCTCCAAAAACACAGCTTTATATGTGGGAAGAAAAAAAAAGTGCTTCCTAACAGTAATATGACATATTGCCACAGTTGGAAATATTCTTTGAAAGCCTTCTCTCCCCCTAAAAAACTACTTGTGCTTCATTGAACTTAGTGATTTATCTGTACTGAATGCAGTTGATGTACTGTCCAGCATGTTGACGTGGCTGAAGCCAGTAAAAGCCATCTGTGTGATCTATTGCTTTACCGGCAGATTTTTTTCACAATTGGAAGTGTATGTTTCTCCTCGATATTATCAATATGTAGTCAGTTAACACATCTGGATGAACTGTGCTGATGGGATATGCGTTAATTCAAACCATGCCGTCTGCAACTTAAGTCAGAAAAAAAGCCTCTCAGAGGATTGGGAAGCAAATTGGCAATTACTTGTCATAACAGAAATCTGAATCAGAGTTGCACCTCTTACATTGTGCTTTTTTCAGAAAGAGGGCTGCTGGAATTTTTCAGAACAGCTCTATCAACTTCAGTCATTAAGCAGTGAGAGCTCCCTGTTGGTTTGAAAGCAGAAAGTCAGTAGTTTCTGGATGATAGCTTCTTTGGCATACATTTTTGGGAATGCTCATTTAGAATAAACTAACGGTTTGTTTTCCTAGGAACAGAGATCAAAGACAAATTAAGATGTTATGACTTTGATGTACACACAATGAAGACATTAAAGAACATAATTTCACCTCCCTGGGATTTCAGAGAATTCGACATAGAAAGACAAACTCTGGATGAAAGTGGCATAGTAACATTAGAGACATCACATCAAAGAAAAAGTACAGATACCAGCCGCCCACTGGAAGAAACATTTGAGATTGAAATGAATGAAAGTGACATGATGCTAGAAACATCAATGTCCGACCATAGCACATGACCATAAATGCCGATAGAGAGCTCATTTTGTTGAAGTATAATATGTTTGGTTTAGCATTTTTGTTATGGTGTTCTACTTTCAAGAATTTACTATTTTTCTATGAATTCAAACTACTACTCTGTACTTAAAACCAGAGAAATAATGCTTGCCTTAAGGATGGTTAAAAAGTAGAGGTGGTGGACTGTTTCTACAAAATTAATCATACAAGATGAAGTAAAAAATAAATTCACTTTTTTTTTTAACTGTTTACTGACCCGTCTGACATCAGTAAGACCCTGAAGGCTTAAAAATAGTACTTCACGTGGAACTGTTCAGAGTGTTGTTAAATTGAATAGCCAGTCTAATATAGTAGTATTGTGGCTTCTGAGTTTTCATTCTGTCTGTGTGGAATGCCTTCTCAGTAAATAAACAGAATTCCCTGAAGTTTTATACATGCTACTTCATAAATATGTATTTATTTAAGGAGCAATTGCAGTGGGTTTCCATCATTTGACTCTTAATTTGGCATACGTTAAACTGGTGACAAAGCATGTACTTTGTTATATGTTCTCCCAGTTACTAATTTCAATTCTTTATCTATTGTATAACTGAAAGATCACTTGAAAACTTTTTGGGGGAAGCTGACTACACCACAGACATGAGTGGTGTAAACATTAAGATCAATCAGTCTTACAATTAGTGTCATAAGAAAGTTGTAAGCCACAGTGTACTACCATAGGGACCAAGCTCCCTCTCTTCACACAGTTGTTTTGTCAATGCAAAGGATTAACTGAGTAATACGCATACACTCTTTTTACAAGCCTCTAAAAGTGTGGTATTTTTAAAGTCACTGGTTCACTGAAAAAATGAAGAAGTAAAACATACACCTCTGAAACAGCAGCAGTGAATTGTCTGTCTACTAAACAGGACAGGTCTGTCTGCTGCCTTAGCATGAATGTTGAATGTATTCTGTGTAATTCTTTTCCTTTGTTGCCTTTTCCACCTATGTGACTGTTTGGCTTATAATTAAAAACTTAATGCTACAAGCTGTCATATTCTGTGACTTCAGTGAAGTATTGGCACTTAATGTTTAGAAGCAGGCCAGGCTTCAGTGTGAAGTACTTCAGAACTCAAGAACTAGCAGTTTTTCTGTAGTTAAAGATTTTTCATGAAATACAAAGATTATTTTAGTCAGCAAAGTAAAATCACTGGTCTAAAATGTAATTTCTACACTGTATCACAGTATACTTGTGTATTTTCATACATATGTATTTTCAGTTTTACACTTTTAGCATAACATGAATGTTTGGATATTGTAATATAATTTTAGTCCACTTTACTGGGGCAAGGTATAAAAACCCCTGACGTATTAGTGTGGATCATGGAAGATTCCCTATACCTTTTTATGGCACTTTATGTAACTGAGACAAGGGATGAAGACAAGTACCTCTATTGAATCCTTGCTGTCATTCTTACTTTCCAGCAGTCCATCTTTCTTGATTAATGGTCTTTTAACTTTAACACAATATTTACTTTTGCCATGAAGTAGGTATCAAAGGATGGTCTGAAACGATAAACTTTGGAGTGATTTTTTTCTTCTTTTTTTTTTTTTTAATAGCATCTTGCATAAGCTGGAAAATATAAACTACTACTTTTCATTCTGCTACATCTGTCTCATGGCTCCTTGAGTTCTCAGTGGCCAGGTTCTGAATCCTAAGGTTAGTAGAGACCACTACTTGGAAGAAATTGCTAGGTGGGAAGGCCTTCATTTATCCAAGGACTCTCATTAGCCAATCTGAGATACCTGCTAGTGAATCAAAATATTAATTTCTCTTTTTCCTGTTTTTGCCATCTTATTTGCTTGCTGTGCTGACAGACTTATTTGCTGTGACTATGTCTTCATTCTTTGACTCTTCCTAATGGCGGTCTCATGAATCCCCATCTGGATCAGGGATGCTTCATCATGTTGATGTAGGCCATGTGCATTGTATCCAGAGTATTGGCTGTTTTCCACCTGCCCATGCATTGCTGAATGTGAGTTCAAGTTCTAGAGCCACCTGCACTTCACAGTTTACAGGTAGTGAGTGAGGAAAAGCCAGGGGATGAGTCTGTGTTTTAATAGCAATGAAACTGGGCGGGGTGCAGGAGCTCCCCTCACTCCTATGAGCACCAACACGGTATTGTAGAGAAATCTGGTTCTGTCCCAGTGACAGCAGGAACTGTTCTGTGGCTCCACAGAAGAAATTATGGATGCTCATTACCATTCCACACATTGGAACATAAGGACTGGAGCATGTGTCCAGTGCAGAATTCAGTACCAATCCCATATTTTCTTAGCCATTAGAAAGTTAAGGTGAATGAAAATGTTTAACTTCCCAATTCTAAAACATTCACTGAAGTTGCACATTCTCCTGAAAAACGGGATGAGCTGTCAGTCTTTAAGTGGAAAAGGTCACTGAGAAGGTCACAGTGAGGGATTTCCTTGGTTTTTGGTATCTCGTAGTTTGTGTGTGGTTCAGGTGGCTTCTTATGTTTGAAGTAAACTGAAGACTTTTCCTGGGCACGCTAAAAGACTGGCCAGTTGAAACTGTGATAAACACATAAATGTATTGGCTTTTGCAAATCACAAGTGTTGCTATGTGGATATAACTCTGAGTTTGCAATAACGGAAACAAAGCTCACTAGAGCCACAAGATTAGACAAGTTGAAAATGGCCAGAACTCTTGAGAAAAATGGGTCACATAGCAAAAGAATTTGTAAAGGTAAAAGGGAGGTGGGGGGACGGGACACGATGACTTGATACGAAGTAAACTAGTGCCTGGAAAACAGGTTTAAAGTACTTCTAGCTTAAGTCAAAGATAAAGAACAATGTTTGTGTTGTAAGTCTGTGGTAAGATAACAGGATTTAGTGGCCCCACTAAACATAACTGAGTTATTTCACACCATCCTACTTATCAGTTAGATTGGAGAGGGTGTCTCCCGAACATCTGCTAGCTTTGGATGTTCCTTGTCTGCCCGTCCTGTTTTGCTTGCAATAAATTTTGCAGGAAGGTCACGCTGTTCTAAATCTTTGGCAGCTATCAGAACCTTACAGATATGGCTGGTTTCAGCTAGTTGTGTGATTATTGGGGCATCCAACTGTGCCAAAGGTGAAAAGTACAGTGAGGAAGACTGCTGACTTCATCTTGAAGACCCCTGCCAGCATGAGGTAGACTGCCTACTTCATCCTCAAGACCCCTGCTCACGATCACCGGAGAGCAGTGTGCAGACACCAAGAGGAGGAGACTTATGATAACAATTTCCTGGAGCTAGTTATAATATTCCCTGCCTATACTCGGGAATTATGAATATGTATATGGCTATTGCAATACTGAAAGTATATAAACCTGTAACAAATATTAATCAGTGTGCCTCTGGCTATGGTCACACGCCCAGCGCTGTTGCTTTTGCTTTCTTGACTTTGACCCTCAGTAAAACCCTGTTATCTCTATTAGAGGAGTGAGCGCCTATTTCACAAAACTCTGTAAAGAGTGTGTCTTAACAGCTACTGATTAGGCAAGTCTCATCCTTTAAAGGATCCGCTCTGAGGCTACTATTACATCTGTCCTTATGGATCATGAACGACTGTAACCAACAAGGCCATCAGATGGATAAAGTAACAGCAAAAGCTTGCTGCTGCACGCTGGGTCTTCTGTCTAACATCAGTCATGAATATAAGCCTTAGGTTGTTTCCTTTTACCTTTTATAGAGCAATTTTAATTGACAGAATAGTTTAAAAGATTGATAAAATTTACTATTTCTTCCAGTTATGACCTGATGGTATGACAGCTCAGATCTCCATGACAAGAGAGAAATGGGCAAATTTAACTGTCCTTTCCCCCACGGGCACAGCGGGGTGCATGAAACCGCCTTTCCCCAGCAGCCGGGAGGATGCGGATGAAGACACCAACGGCAGCGGCACGCCCCTCTCACAGCCTCGACCGCCGACCGGGTGGGGCAGCGGAGCCCCGCTCTCCCCCAGTGAAGCCTCGCGAGATTCCCCCGTGCTACCGGCCGGTTCTCGCGAGGTTTCCGCTCGGCTGCGGGCGGTAGTGGGGTCTCCGTGCGGTCGGAGCGGGAGCCCGGGCCGGGGTTCATGAGGGGTGGCGGCCGCGAGAAGTGGTCCATGGACATCCCGCTGCGGCGGGAGTCTCCGCGTCGCGACACAGAGGCTCCGCCAAACCAGCTACCGCCGCCAGCACCACCTTCCCCGCCCTCCCCGCTGCTGCCGGCGCCGGGTAGACAGCGAGATGAGAAAAAAACGGCTCTGAGCAAAGTGAGGGGGCGCGGGCGCAGCTCCGGGCGGGCGGAGGGACCGGGGCGGGGCGGGGCGGGGGGGCGGTGCCGGGGCTCGCCCCTGGTGGGGAGGGAGGCGGGAGCGGAGCGTCTGCGGTGGGAGATCCCGCAGGACCAGAGGAAGTTTGCAGCGGGGAGCACGTCGCAGGTAGGCCTGATTCGACAGAGCGAGGCTTAATTTCAGGCGATTCAGATGTTTAAACGGATGTTGGCTCGTCTGAAGAATGAGGGTGCCTGTTAATTCAGGTGTTCGAGATCCCCGGCAGCGTTCCTCGTCGCCTTTAGCGCTTCAGAAATCGAGATTGGCACTTGCTGTAGCAAAGCAGCGTCTGCATGGACCAGGGCGCTTCTCTCGCCTTTGCTTTATTCTAGCACTTTTCAAAGAATGCGTTGCGTAGAGTAGTACGAGATTAGATTTATTCTCGTTTTCTAAATTGAAAAACTGAAAATCACCATAGCTTAAAAGTTGAGTTAAACCCAGGTATTGCTGGGAAATGGAAATAGATTGCCTGAAGTTTGATGGCCATTTTACTGATGTCTGTGCTGCCATCATTGTGTCCCAAAGGTTTTCATTTAGTTTGCTGGCCTTTATTACTGGCCATTTTACCTGAATGTGGTGGGTTGACTTAATGCCTGTCAGATCCCTAGCCAGCCGCTCCTTCATGCCTTCCTCAGCAGGTCAGGGGAAGAAAATAAGATTAGAAAAACACATGGGTTAAGGTAGAAGCAGAGAGATGATTTACAAAGTGTTGTCACGGGCATAACAGATGTAACTTGAAGAAAATTTATTTTATTGCTAAGTAAAAGAGAAGAAATCAAAGATTAAAACACCTTCTGGCCTCTTCCTTCCTAGGCTCTCCCTCCCCTGCCCCCAGGCAGTGCAGGAGGGTGGGAAATGAGGGTTGTAGATAGAACATAACAGCTCCTTTCTGCTGCCCCTTCCTTCTCACACCCATTCCCAGCTCCACCTTGAGGCCCGTGCCATGGGATACAGTCCTTCATGAACTGCTCCAGCGGGGGTCCCTGCCACCCGCTGCAGTTGTTCATGAGCTACTGCAGCATGTGTCTTCTCCATGGGCTGCAGTCTTTCAGGATAAGCCTTCTTCAGCTTGGGTTCCTTCTCTGTGGGCCACAGGTCCTGCCAGAAAACATGCTCTTGCACGGGTTCTCACAGGCTGAAACTCCCTTCAGGGCATGTCCAGCTGCTGTGGCATGGGGCTCTCCACAGGCTGCAAGTGGCTATCTGCTCTACTGTGGACCTCCGTGGGCTGCAGGGGGTCCTCACCATGGTAATCTCAGGGCACCTGGAGCACCTCCTCCCCTCCCTCGTTTAGTTTGATGTCTGCAAAGCCATTTCTTGTGCTTTTTCCCCTTACTCCTCTGCTGCTGTGCAGCCTTTTCTGTCCCATCTAAAATACTTTTCCAGAGATGCCACTGTCTTGGCAGAGGCTGAGCTGTGCCCTGTGGTGGGTCCATTGGAACCTTCTGTGTCCAGCACAGGCTAGCCCCAGTTTCTCCTCACAATGACCACCCTGGAGCCCCTGCTGCCAGAACCTGGACACATAAACCTAATACACAAAGCTAGTGTTGTAATAAAGGACTTAAAAGTTAGTTTAAGAGATACTATAAGTGGTATACTGATGCTGTGTTGTCAGTATGTATTTCTTTTTTTTGGTCATCCGTTAAATATTTTGTTACTGGTTAAATTACAGTGGTTCTCAAGCTCTTCATCAGAATAGTTCAGTTACCCTACAGTTTTACAGCCTTAGCAGAAACTGAGATAGGGAAATTGTTCCACCTGTCAGCAAGTCCAAGGTAAATTACTATTCAGGGAACAGTTTTTAAGGAGGAGTCACATGATTTGTTTAGTCTCTTTCTACAGTATTTAGATCAAAGATAAATCTCCTTTTTTCTTTTATATGTGCAGGTAGTTATTCGACGCCTTCCTCCTTGTCTAACTAAGGAGCAGCTGGAGGAACAGCTACATCCTCTCCCTGCCCATGATTATTTTGAGTTTTGCACTGCTGATCCCAGGTGAGGATGAGCTGTTTATGTAGGTTTTCAGGTGCTTAAAGCCAAATTAAGGTATTTTGGACATACCGAATCACCTGGTTTTCCCTTTTTGTTAGTTCTGTTAGGTTACTTAAAATATTTCTGAAAAGCTGGCTACATATGCAGAGGCAGTGCTTCCTGCCTTTTTCTTTTACACTGGTGATTTTTAAACCAGAATATTTCTGTATATGAATAGGGCATAATTTGGTTTGAAACCCTGACGTCTCTTTTAACCTTCATTGGTAAAATGCAACAGGCTGTTTTATTGGCTGTGAGAAAGATTCAACCTAGGGCAGACATCACGGAATTCTTTTCATGAGTGCCATTTCAGCTTAATTTCTTTGTTTGCTTACTTGTTTGTGTATTTATTTTATGTGGTTTTCAAATAATTCAGTTTTATTCATTTTTGTCTCAAGCAAAACTAAAATAAAATTGCTGCTATATTTATGTATTCAGTATCACCATAGTAAAATATAATTCCCTTTCAAACAACACAATTTCCAGAAGAGAAGGAACTTAACCACTGAAATGAACAAAATACCCTGTGTGCTACATCTACATGTGTTCGGGAAAACTGATCCTCCTTGCCCTTCTTAGCCTTAGCGTGCACTGAATCACCCTCCACTGGCACAAGATTCTTTCGATTAATGAGAGGGATCTTGGGTGTTTATTGCTAACCAACTTTTAAAGGTAGGGGTGACCCCACCCAGAGCAGATAGCCTTTCCTGTGTAGGAATTTGCTTGTGACCAATTTTGCTTAGAACAGTCTGGTTCCTGGGTTGATTTTGTTTGAAAAGGTGCTGCCACTTCTTGCCACCGCTATGTTATTAGGTGGTTAAGTCTGACTAGATAATCTGTCAAAGTCAGTTCCACAGTCAGAAAGAAACATGTCTTACTTAGCGAATCTTTACGGCAGTTGTGTGACTTACAAAGTTACACCAGTGCACAGAAACAAAATGGTGCTTCAGATTTCCTGGTAGAACCACTGTTAGGAAAGAGAAGCATTTAGTATGATTGAAAGTCTTCGTAGTTACATTTTTCTTCTGAAGTTTGTCGTCTGTACTTCCAAATGAGTCTCTTTAATGCTTCTGTCCCAGCTGTTCATTTCATATGGGGAAAATATCAAAGGCAAAGCAAAATTTCTCTGAAGAAGAGCATCTCTCTGTCCTGAGTGTGTTTGGCTACCCAAATGCCAGAAAACAGTTTAAAAGATTACAGTTTTCGAGAACAGTTGTTGGCATAGGAATTTAGGGAGTCAGCCATTGTAGAAAAGAGAAGGCACTGACAACAGCTGTCTGTATGAAGTTTCCTTTTCTCTCTGCTTTTATGTCACAAGATTTTTTTGAGTATCAAAAATCTTACTGCCTACTTACTTAATTGCACCCGTGTCAGGTTACTGATGAAACTGTTTTTTTCTCTCATGCTGTGTTGTCATGTGCTTTCATATAGCTAGGGGCAGAATGTATGTATGTATAAAAAAGCTTGTTAGATTGCTTGTATTACACAGTAGTTTATTCTGGTAGAGGGATGAGGACATGCTTGAAAAGCAGATCTTGGTGATTAAAAGTATAGAGTCTGGAGAAAATAAAGCTGTATTTCTTATATGGTTTTACTACCTGACTTCAAGCAAACAAAGAATATACATGTTTAATTTTTTTTAACAGTGGAATCTTATATATGTGTTACTTGGATTTTCAGTTTCCTTTAGTCTTGTGTATGAGCCCTATGATAAAAGAATGATCTGGGAGAAGAATGTTCTCTCTCTCCTGAGTTTTGGATTCATGTTCTCTTCTGCCTTCAAAACTTTAAACTTTCTACAAAAAAAGTGTTTTCATATACGTTTGAACTTTTCAGCATGAACTGCTTCATATTTTTTCATCTTGCTTCTTAAAAATTATACTTTCATACAAAAGGTGTGGTTTTTCAGAATGGGTTAATCTGTCAAGGTTTGTGTGGCTGCAACTTCTTTCATCAAACGACACAGTTTCAATAGGCATTTAGTTGTGGTTCTGCAGAGTATTGGCTTGAGTGGTTACTTGTTCTTTGACTGGCCCAGGATCACTTTGCCCCATTTGTTTGAATGCTGACGCACAGCCTTGTGCATGTGTTTATGATTTAACTCTTTACATGTTCATACACTCAAGAATATAAAGTCAACTTTTACAAATTGTAATTTAGAGACAAGATTATTCCACTGAGTCTTAGTCTTCTCTTATCCATTGGAGAACTCTGTTCTGAGTATAAAGCATTGTGTTGCAGTAAGCTGTTCACAGAATTTCAGAAGACTCTCTAGATGTGTTTTCACACCATTTCAGCTGACAGGAAGAGCTACAGCACAAGGTGGACATGTTCTCTCTACAGTGTCCTCTGGTTTTCACTGATGAGCTTTTTTCTAGATTGTGTACCATGTGCATAGTGGCAACCAATCCAGGGAATGCAGTGATAATGAAAAAAAGAGACGATTAAAAGCAAATTTCATGTTATCAAGTAAGAGAATGATTTGGAGAAGCTACTTAGTGAAGAGGATCTATTTGTTGGAAAGAGAAGAGGGCCTGCAAATGTTTTGATGTGGGAGCAGACAGATTTGCTGTATTGTTTCAGTGTAACCCTGTCATGTGAAACTCTGGATAACAGAATTTTCTAATAGCTCCTTCAGATTTCTGAGGAATACAGACTTGGTTTTTGTTTTGATGTTCGGTTGCGTTTTGTTTTTTGTGTTGATTTTGTTTGCTTGTTGGTTTGGGTTTTTTCTCAGAACACCTTGTTAAACCACGCAGCCCCTTGCCAGAAGTTGATGCCAGAAATTGTGGAGGTTGAAAATAGTTGAGGAGCAGTTAGGCACTTACTTATGAAAACCGATTGAACACAAGGAAAAAGTTCTGTATTACAAAGTCCACAGACTGCAAGTAACTGAAATGATATACTAGGTGAAGTGTCAGTGTACAGTTTCTCCTTTTTAACAAGCTACTTGTAAGCATCATCCACTAGTTGCTGCTGGAAAGAGAACTAGAGAGGTCTTGAGTATAATTGTTCCTACATTCTTATTTCCAAGGTCATTTCACCTAGAGAACAAACCAAAAAAGACATGTATATCAACTCCAGTTTTTCTGTTTTTGCACTTTAAAGGTTATCTTTAAGTTTACAATGTCTTATTAGAGGCAAGCTGTAAATTTTTTTAAGGTTTCATTTGATAAAGCAATGTCATTAATGTATCACACTTTCTCAGTTATATCTATTTCAGTAAAATCAATTCAGAAAGCAACTTGCATTGTGTTTTGTTCATTCTTTTAGATCCATCTGATTCACTGCATTACATTTACTCTCTCTTGTATATTGACATCAAAGTGCAAATAAAACACTGATTCTATGACCTTTAGGGGTGATTGTTGAATAAGCACACTATCCATAGCTGATAATAAAGATTCTGCCTTCCTGACAGTCTATCTTGTTCTCAGACTCCAAATGTTAACTTTTTTTTTTTGTTTTCCAGATACTCTTTCTTTTTTTTGTCTGCATGTAAATATTTCTGAGTCTTTTAAAACTTGAGTCAAGCGATTGAGTTCTGGCCCTGCAGGATTTGGGTCATCCCTTGGTACTGGTGCTGATGCTGAGTGCTAGGACTCATTAATAGTGTTGCGAGGTAAAAGTAATGGGATCTGAACAGGAGCTTTGTTTACATGAAGGCTAGTCAAATAGTCAGTGCCATGCCACGTATCACAGACAGTGATAAAGCTTCTTGCAGACAGCACAACTTTTCCTTCCATAACTTCTTCCCAAAGTTTTGCTCAGGGTTATTGTAGGCAAATAGCATTAACACTGTAGGATGGCACCGGGAACCTGCAGCTCTGAAGGGGCAGCATTTTTAGATCTTTGAGGGAACTACCACTACTAAGTTCTGGATGGAATGAGTGACAGTCTGTCATCACAACTGATGCTGCTTTGCTGGGCAAATTGTGCTCACTTTTAAAAAGGAAAGACTAATTTAAAATTGTTCCAGTTCCATCAGCTGTGTGAGTGACCACAGAAGGTGAGAGACAAGCATGAAGGCCAGTGGATTTTAGCTTGGTATGACAATATAGATGATAAATCACTCATTTGATCAGAACTTACTATGTAATATAAAAATGGATGAAGGAGTTTATTTAACACTCCAAATTTACACATGGAGATCTATACATGTATATGTCTATATACACCATGATTGATAAATAGATAAGTATTTTTACTAAGATGTGATGGCTGGTTTTATAGTTTACGTGTTGCTATTTATATTATAAATACCTATTTAAAATGGCTTTTGTGTATACCAAGCTTTTTACACAGTTGTGTTAAAACTTATTTTGTAGAAGCAAACTATTAGAATGTGTTTGTTACTAAAATTGTCATAAAAATAAGGGCTTAAAGAGATAATAGTGTTATGGAAACCCATGTAACCTAAAAGATTGAATACCCTTTAATGTACAGCAAAAACCAAATAAACTGTGTTGTACTGCAGAAGTGTATACAGTCAGACCCATCTGTGTTATTGCCATCAGATTGCTCTAAGTGATATCCCAGAGTACCAACATCACATGCAGTGCATCTATCCAAACCATGATACGAATGGAAAGCAGCATTATAAACAGCAAACATGGCAAAATAAAACCAGCTGCCTGATTATAACTGCGCAACCTCAAACCACATTCAAATCCTGAATGAAATTCGTGCTCCTTGAAAAAAGGAGGAGGCACACACAGCCCCGCAGCCCTTTTGTGGGACTTGGCTGGAAGGAAAACTGAAGAGCAAAAGCTGTGTTTTATCCAGAAACTGCTGAACACAAAGTACATGAGTAGAGCAGGAGTATTTCTTTGTAGGAGAGGGTATTAGCCACAGAGTGCCTGTGGCCCTGTGAAGCCCCATTCATTCTTTGCTGTGAGCCACACTGGTGAGTCCTTCATGGATAGACGGTAAAATCCAGAGAGGGGAGCAGCACTTGGATGTCAGATGTCCGAAACATGGAATAAGAGACAGTATTTAATATGCAAGCCAGTGCCAAGCATTCAGTCTGCTAGATTTAGTAGTTTCCCATTTCAAGAGTGGCTTTTATGCATTTTTTTTTTAGGCACACTGCACATTGCTGGGTCAGAAGTCTAAGACAGGGGTCTGAAACACTCAGTGATCAGGCTTTAATACACTAAGCACCCTGACAGCTAACTTGGACTCATATGAGAACCAACTTTTTTTTGCTTTGCATCTTGGTGGCAACTGCAGCCACTCTTGAGATACCTTGTGTTGCATATGCAGACTGGAGATTTGCACATCTGATCCCAGAGAATTCTGAACAGTTTACAGAACCCCATGACAAAGCACAGCCACGTGCATCTATGCTCACTTAGTCAAGCTGTCAAAGGATGCTTTCAAGTGGCCCATAGCTGCGTGGCACTAGTGTAGACTGGGTGGATAAGGGAGCATGCCATGCCTGCAGTGTCTGATTCGTGTCAGGAGCATAGACCCAGCCATGCCCTAGCAGGCATTTTTGTGGGTACCTGCTTACACTATTATGCTATTCCCATCCTAGAATATAAAAATATGAAGAGTATATATAGATGAAATAGCTCTTCCTTAGAAGACATCCTCTGCATGCTGTACAAACACTCCATAGCTGGTATTTGCAGCTAAATGAAAATTACATCTAAATGAAAAAAAAAGCACCTAGGTGTTTTTGTTTAACACATTCCTCCTGGCTACAATATCAAACATAAAATTGGAAATCTCCTCTGAAATAGCAATGGGATTGAAATGAAGTTGCAACTATGTGTGTTTATTGTCTTCTGCTGCTGGTCTTCAGTTTGTCTGAAGACTGGCCATGTTCATATGAGCATAGGGTGTTAAAGTTAGAGGCTTGTGTTGAGGTGTGTTCAAAAACCTGGCATAATACAAAGCCATCACAGAATTCACTGAACATAGTTCAAGCCAGACTTCGCTGTATCACAGTTGCTGGGGTTTAAAACATATACATGCCATGATTCACAATAACTTAGCTGATGTGTGATAATTCATTAAATTACATGAACTCAGTTTCACTGATGGTGTGCCAACCCTGAGGTTTTTATTAGGCACATTAAATGTTTACCCTTAGAGTGAGGTCTCTGCCAATAAATTCTGGAAGAATCAGAATTAGTTTAGGTAAGTACCTGTTGTTTTGCTAGAAATGCTTTGGATTTTCACAGTAATTGTTCTTCACATCTAGACTTTTCATATCTATTGATATAGGTGTATGTCAGATTGAGTTTATTTATTTGTATGTAATTCAGTGGATTATTTTGCCAATTACTGGGTTATTTAATCTTTCTTAAAGGTGGAAATCTCTTTAAATACAGTGACAGCATGGCAACTGCCCTTTCACTAGGAGCTTTTACTTGCTTTCTCCTGTTTCAGTGACAAAACACTTCCTTAGCATGATCAAGAAGTTCCCCAAAAGGACTGCTGTTATTCCTGTTTCTTAAATCATTAAATCTGAGATTTAAAATTAAATTAAATATGATTAATTTTATAATCATATATTAAATGTGATCCTGCACAATGGAAGCATATGCTCCGCAATTCAGGGAGACAAAGTAAACTAGAAGTATTAGTTTCAGTTCGGAATAAATTTCACAGTTGCATCTGGGAACCCAGTTGTTCAGTTGCTTTTTGTTTTATATACATACATATATATATAAAATTAGATTTGTATATGTAAAGGCTTCAGTATGCATGTTTAAGGTAGCTGTTTCTCAAAGAAGATGAAAATTGCAGTGTGATCTTCTACTTTCTTAGTAGTTCTGAACAGAATAGTAAATAACAGAAAATAAAATTTTTTCTTGTTGCAGCCTTTATCCTCATCTCTACTCAAGAGCATACATTAACTTTAGAAATCCTGAGGACATCCTTCTTTTTAGAGATCGCTTTGATGGCTATGTCTTCATTGATAATAAAGGTTGGACTATTTGTAAGACGTTAAGTGCGTATATACATACACTATTATAGAACTTTCATTTGCTTCCTTTTTGCTAGTTATGGCTTTTTTCCTCGATACACAGCTAATTACCTAAACATATATTAAAATCTAGCACTTGAGCAATGGTGAAGTGCAAAATATATTTGACATGCAATCTTGCTTGTCTGTGTGATGTGCATGCTTTATCTGCATTCTTATACCTACAACAATATGCTGTCAGCATCTTACTAAGATCCTTATGTGGACTTCACAATGCATTACAACAGTAACTGAACACATTGCAAGCATGAATCATTACATCTGCAGTGTACTTCTGTGGGATAAATTTGTGCCACTTATTCCCATTTTGAAAAAGCAAGACGAAGACTTCATAATTTTGGTTGCCCACTTTGAGGTATGTACAGCCTGATGATTTAGCACATTTGCAGGGATCTAGATTGGAGTTCCAAGAACAAGATCGACAAAATTGGTTGCCATTTTTAGAACATTCAGTCTGCAAAAGTTTACTCAATAGTAAGGAAAAACTGTAATGTAGGTATGGATAAATCCAGGTCTCTTAACAGTACCATGAATGAAACTGCCATAGCCAAGAAATGGCATTTTCCCTTTAGCAGTTCCTTGCCTCCTTCATGCATACCTTCTGTAAAAAAAAAGCATGGATTGTATGAAACAGAAGTAAGCACGTGGGTTTCTTTTGTAGACATTGTCTACTCTGTACACACAGTGTGTGATTCCCAGATTTCAAATTCTGTGTGTTTTAGATAAACAAATTAGAAAGAAACTATGATTCTGCCAAGGCTTCACTTTTCCCAAATTGAGCACATTCTTCAGTGTTATGCTTTACTGAATCCAGGATATTCTGTATATTACAAAACTGAGCATGGACACAGCCGGCCAATTCGGCATGATTGATTGTGCAAATAAAGAGCACAGGTTTTGATTAAATATGCCCTCTGGTGAGGCTTCTGTCAGCATTGCATTTATGAGGCTAAATTAAAACAAGGATTACCAGCTTCAATAAGGTTAACAAATGTTCTAACAGATTTAAGCCTGGTTTTCAGTGGACTTCAGCAAAGTATAATCTTGGACCTGCTGCAAGTGGAAACCAGTCAAAATTCGGAAGTTACACACAGTTCTGACTCCAGTCTAAAGAAGAATCCAGTGTTTTAAGGCAGAATTAAAAACAGAATCCATGCCAGTAAACACAGTCAAGAAGTTGTGTAGTCCATCATAAACAGAAAGAAATGAAGTTTCACACAATTTTACATGTTGAGTTTTACAGTTATGGTTCTGAAAGAAGGTGGTATGTTTTATTATTGCATATCACCCAGCATTTATTTACTTTTTCAGCTTTTTGGCAACAAAACTTTACAGAAGCAACTCAATTCTTTCAGATTCATATCCCAGCAGTATTTACCACTTGTCAGGCTGAGATTTTATGTAAGTTTTTCTAATCAATGAAGAATTAAAAATGAATTATAAATGGTAATGCAAGAAATTTATTGTGCAGCAGTAGACATCATTTTGAAAGTTTTTGTTAGCATGTCCAAAACTATTCAATGTTGCTATATATAATTAAAATACAAATGTATTTTGGTTTGAATATAAAATAATTTTATTAGAAGTTTGGATGGGATTGTAGAAGCCTTCACCTTTGATTTCAAGTTAGACTGCCCAACACAAGTTTCAAGACTTGAAAACCTTACTTGAATATGGGGAAAGTGTTTACCTCTCACAAAATTAAGCACTGATCTCCTTTAAGGTTTGGAGTATCCTGCAGTGGTTGAATTTGCTCCATTCCAGAAGATTTCAAAAAAGAAGCTGAAGAAGAAAGATGCTAAAGCTGGGAGCATTGAAGACGGTAAACATATTTTCTAGGTGTTCAGTGGATTCCATTTCTGTGATGCCCTGCAAAGTATTAATCAAAAAATTTTTCTTCACAGATCCAGAATATAGGAAATTTTTAGAGAGTTATTGTGCTGATGAAGAGAAAATCTGTGCCAATCCTGAGATTCTTTTGGGAGAGATTGAGGCCAAAACAAGGGAACTCATTGGTCTGTTTTCTTGATTTTTCTTACTATTGAGAATTTCAAGTATCTTATTTTTATATCTTTATTATATTACCTGCAAGAGCTGACCTGCTCAGTCTAACAGACTGGGACTATCGCAGTTAAATTTTTGTTATCCAGCCAAGTTGTGGCAGGAAACACCCTACCTATTAAGTCTCTATGCATGGAATCATTTGACTTTACTGGAAGTTTTGCATGCACAGTAGCTTGAGAAATAGGTCCTTAATAATTCTGAATGTTCTCAGATGTATTAAAAGGTGGAAGATTTATTTTTAAAAGCTAAAATAGCTGATTATTTAACAATTGATCATTGGTACTAGCTGCTTTTATTGAGAAACATGGAAAGATCCCTGTTCTCATGTTCAAGATTCTGCAAAAGCTTTGAAAGTAAGGCAACACCTTGTTTTATGTATGCATGCAGCATGAGTTTCACAGTGTTGGGGGGAATCTTTAGTACGAGCAACATTGAAATCTTCAGTGCTATTATGCAGCTTTCAGGATGACATGGAATAGTGATGTGCTGTATCTCTAAGTGACAATGTGCAGTACACTTAGTCTTTCCCTAGGTATGACAATTGAATAGGAAGAAAAAACAACCTTCAATATTATTTTTTTACCGTGTAAAAGTAGCCACCTCTTTTGATTAGAATCATAAGAACACAATCATAGAATCACTTAGGTTGGAAAAGACCCTTAAGATCATTGAGTGCAACCATTAACCTAGCACTGTAAGTCAACCACTGAAACATGACCCTAAGTGCCACATAAAACATCTTTTAACTGCCTCCAGGGATGGTGACTCCACCTTCCCTGGGCAGCAAGTTTCAGTGCTCAACAGCCCTTTTGGTGAAGAAATTTTTCCCAGTATCCAGTCTAAACCTCCTGTACCGTAACTTGAAGCTGTTTCACCACTTGTTGCTGTTGTTTGAGTGTTGCCTGGAGAGTTTTGGAACTAAATTTAGAGGAAATTTAAAAGTAAGACGTGTGGACATTTAAATAATCCTGTTATCAGTAGAACTTGTTTGTTACAGTTCTAGATAGGGAAGTTCCGCAACAATTTTTATTTGCTCCAAATCTTCCCTAGTATTTGACATCAGAGTAAAAGCAGTCAAAATTTTCCAAGAAGTTTACAATTCACAGAAAGTTTGCAGTTAATTACAAGAAAGATTTATAAATATCAGCAAAAATGATTAGTCATGAGAGTTGCAGATTTCTGAATAAGAATGTTGGGTGAAGGCAGCTTTACATTAGGAGTATTCGGTTTTTGTTTCTGTTAAATCATGGGATATCAAATTAGTTATTTTTTCTGCTCTTCAAAACTATGGCTATTGCTAGCAGTATAAAACTTCAGTGGATAGCAAATTTATAGCAGAATTATGGGAAGGATTAGTTGTATGTCCAGTTGTAAAGGTGTTAACTCCTACTTGAAGTCAATGAAAGATATGCCCAGGACTTTGTTGGCAGAAGTGGGCCTCACATTCTCAAGATCTTTCCAGGTAGTGTTACTGCAAACCAGCATGTTTCATGCATCATGTTAGATACATTAGCTCATCAGTTTTTGCATGACAGAGAGAGATACAGCAAATTTTCTTTGAAACAAGATGAAAATAAGCTCATTCTTCTGGCTTGTTTGTAGAGAGCAGGATTAAGTATAAAAGTCACTGCTGACAGAGGTCCTCATTTTGTAATTTATTTTATTTTAAAATTTCTTAAATATTTTAAGAAAGACCTGTTAAACCTGTTAGATTTTTATTTGGAATAAGGCGCTTAAATAAGATGGGTAAAAGTCAGGTTTGAGAAACATTCTTTTTTGCCCTCCTCTTCTGACAGTACTTATCACACCGCCTCTCTCCCTTGAATTTACAGTTGTAATTTCTGAGTAAACCTTTTGCACCACAGCCTTAGTCATGGCTAGGGTTGTTCAGGACTCCCAGTGCAGCTTATCCTTTCCCCAGGCCCTCCAATTACAATTTGTGATCACTCTCATCATGTAAAAGTGCCCAGAAGCAGACACTGCTCAAACAGGAGAACTTAATGGAGCTGGAGAGGGAGAAGCAGAGATGCAGGTCTTGAGGGCCTGGTAGGGAAGGTTTTGGTTGTTGCTTTTGACCATTGATATTTTCTAAAAATAAATACTGAGTCCTTTCAAACCTTCTCATTCATAAATGTGTAACAAGGTTTTATCATTAATGGATGGGTTGCTCTCAGAATATTCACACTTTGAAGAGAAAAACACTTAGGTGTTTTGGAATGAATTGTATCTACATTTTAGCTATGCCATTTCAAATCTATTGAAACTTTTTTTTATTATTATTATTTCTTCCTTTTTTATTTTTATTTTTTCCCAAATCCTGCCATGCATTTCAGTTGTGAAATTTTCTTCAGGTTTGAGGAAGAATCCTATGCATAACTGTAGAGCAACTTCTAGTAGTAAGCATTTTTTGTAGCTCTATCCTGGGACATCTTAAGACTGACAAAATTTGTTGTGACTAACAACAGCTGTAAATCATGAATGCTATACATGACACAGAATTTGTTGATGTTCTCTGAGTATTTGTAGCATTTGGGGATGGTTCAGGCAGGTGACTTAGGCTGGATTTCAGAGTGCGGAGACAGCTCTGTAACATAAGACTAGCTGTGTGATCCAGCAGATGAGGCATTTGATTTGCTATTTGGGAAGCCAGAGTTTTACTGAATCTGCTGATACTTTGCTGTGTTACTGGAACAAACCATTTCTCTCTTATTCATCCTGTTTTCCCCTGGAGAGGTGAAGGCTAAATGGTAGTTCAGTGGAAATGTTGTATGAGAACGAAAATGCTTCCTTCATGATGTACTTTGAAACCTGGGATTGAGAAGTGCTGTGTGAGATTACATGGGCTACATATGAACAGCAATATAGCTGGGTTTTGATGTACAAAATTAAATGGTAGGAACGGATTCTGAACACATTTATTTCCTTTTTGGTGAAATAACTGTTTGATGAGCAAGAGAAAAGAAAAAAGCCCATTATCTTGAACTGAAAAGATATGAGTTTTACTTAAACATTAAATAATGATGCAACTTATCTCTGTTGCTTCTAACCCTAAGAGCAAAAAAGCAACAGCGTGTTTCTAAAGCAGAATGATAGGAATGCCTTCAAAAATATGTAAAACAAATAGGTTTATTAATTATTTAGCTCCCTTGCAGGTCAAGCTAATAAAAAAGGGGTTAGTACTAAAGTAATGAGTACATTTTTTAGGAGTTGAACACTACATCACAAATTTTTTGTGTTTTAGCTAGAAGAACAACACCCCTTTTGGAATATATTAAAAATAGAAAATTAGAAAAGCAGGTACGTTCAGACTTTTGCCTGAAGTTCAACATTTATGTTTCACATGGTTTTCTGTTGGACAATTCAAAGTTAATCATTTTGAACTCTTCAGAGAATACGAGAAGAGAAAAGAGAAGAACGAAGGCGGAGAGAACTGGAGAAGAAACGTCTGCGGGAGGAAGAGAAAAGGAAGCGCAGAGAAGAAGAAAGACGTAAAAGAAAGGAAGTGGAAAAGCAGAAGAAAATCTCTGAAAAAGAAATAAGGATCAAGGTACCTTTATGAAAACATAATGTTCTTCTGTTGAAATTATCCAGAACTTCCTTTGCTATGTCACTGTTTAATTTAGTGTGCTTCAGTATAGTGTGGAGATACCAGGCCAGTTCTGACTGGAAGGGAAAGTAACATAGGACTTTGACTAAGTAACATTGTTTGAAAGTGGAGCTGATTGCCTTAGGTATCAGTTACTAGTACTATCAGTTACTAAGTAACTATCAGTTACTTAGATACCAGCCTATAAAGTGCTGATGCAGTCATGGCAGGTAACTCAGATGTCTTTAATACAGCGCTGCTGCTTTCTATGCTGACATAACCTGACATACCCAAATTGTTCTGTGCCAGCATGTAGGAAGATTATTGCAAATATGGCTTTAATACTTCATGTCATGTAAATCTTCCTCTAGCCATATCTGCAGAGAGTTTTTAGTGTTTATGCTTATGTATTTTAATAGCATGCTTTAACCAAGTTATAACAAAGTCTTTCTAATTTCAGGCTGCGCTGCCTTAATAACAGTCTAAATGGACATGGTTTTAATGGTTTCACTTAGGCAGGTGTATTTTGTGCTGTTAACTCTGGACATTTAAAACCTTATTTGTATAAGATGATATAGATACAGCCTATTCATCTGAACTAAATTTTGTGGTATTAGAAAAGCTTTATAGGCTGTTTTGAAGAGGAAAATTGGTGTTAGAGGCTGTAGCTTAATGCAAGGACACACAGACTCACTCCAGATCTCGTGTTGAGAAGCCACAGACCTATTTCTTTTTTCTTCTGGATAACAGTTTCCTTCACCTAAATGTATAAAAATAGTTCTGAAGCCAAATTAGAGCTTTTTCATATCTGGGCATAAGAAACCACTCTAGAAGTTCAGAAGAAAGAGACTTACTCCTTCAAATATATTCCTCAAAGTGACTGTCCAAAACCCCCCAGTATTTATGATGTATCTGTGGTAACCTTGAAAGCTAGCTCTATCTCTGACAGAAGAGGAAAATGTTACCAGAGGGAAATATTAGAGAACTTCTAAATATCAGAGAAGAATAACCTGTGCTCATTTCAGAAAAACTGGTGAAATGAAAAGGCTCATGAGAAGCTCTGCTTATTCCTGCTATGTTAAGAGAGATGGTCCTTCTGTAAAGATTATTCCTATAATGCTAGATATGCTCAAGCCCTGTGTGGGTTATTTGTCAGGAAATGAAGAGGCTTCTTGAAAATCTTTCTCTCCAAGGTGAAAATACAATGCAGTCTTTTCTTCTAATGTGATATTTTCCTCAGTCTGTATTGCTGTCAAGGTGTATTTATACTAAGGACATACTTCTGTATGCCAGTCTATCCAAAGTAGTTCACATGACACATATTTTATATACAGTATTTCAAGAAGTGAAGTATTAATACTGATCTCTTTGTAGTATGGTAGAAGTTCTACTTCTTATTTAATTAACAGTAACATTGAGCTCTATTATCCGATTTCTAAGAAATCAAAGACCATATTAATGTCTTTAAAAGTCAGGAGAGACTAGATAAGTGCTTTCTGCAGTATTCTCAGCATATTTAAAAGTGTGCAGTTGAATGCCTGGTAATGACTTTCATTCCTCAGCAAAAGTAAACTGCCAATTTTAAATAACTTTAAATTTCATAAATAAATAAAACTTTGTAAAATACATTCCTATCATTTAAATATTTTCAATCTTAATATGCCACCAGTATATTTAATACATTCTTAAAATGTCTGCTACAACAGAGGAGAGTAATTTTACCTCATAATGTAAATTAATATCTCTTAGCTTCTCAAGAAGCCTGAAAAAGGAGATGAACTGGCCAGTGAAAAGCACAAAGAAAAAGGTGAAGAAGCTGACATTGAGGAAAACAAATGGGAAAAATCACCTGGATCTGGGAGTATAAGATCCAAGTCTTTGGAGGGTTCACTAAAAGACCTTAAAGAAAAGTAAGTAATATTTCTCTTTTAGGCTTCACTTTACATCCTAAATGCTTTCATCTCAAGGCTTCAAGAGGATATAACTGATGCACTGACTGGTGTTTTGTCAGCAAAGAACTGGTTTCATTCTGTGTGTGATCAAATCTCTCACTGTCCTTTTTGTAAAAGGTTTTTAGTAACAGCTTGCTGACCTGATGGCAGTATTAGTGGATGCAATTTGTTACTTGTGAAATGTTTTGAAATCCCAGATTGGAAGGATTTCTGCATGAAATGCACTCAGAGTTTCATTGTTATTTCACCTGTTCCCCATCAGGTAAGGCCTTCCTTCCATTACTGATGTCAGACTAAATTAGCTAAGATGCCTTACTTTCCCAGGTGCAAACCAGTATCCTTTTGACTGTGCAGGTACAGTAAGTACTACCTTGTCTCTCCAAGGCCTCATTTCATCATGATTATTAGTGGATGTGATTAGGTTGCAAACTGTGAGCTATTTCACCTGGCTCAAGAATTAAAATTGAAACTATTTTGTCACTGACTCAGAAATCACTTAATAAACTAAATTCCAGCTCTGTGTTCAGAAGACTGAATTACCTGTTTGAAACCGTATCTTAAAGCTCAGTAACAATATTTTTCTACCACAGATTAAAACCTCAGTAGGTATGTGAATGTACATGGACACAGAGGGATTTGAAACTCTACGAAGCAGAAGTATGCTTCTATTCCCTTCCATTAATTTCTGCTTTCTCTTTCTCTGGCTGTGTAACTTTCTCCTGTGTCTCTACTTTGTAGCTGCTTTTCCTCACTGTTTCCTCTCTTGCCTGCCTGTTTGGTATGACTCAATTTTAGAAATGTACTTTAACCACTGTTGAACTGGAGTTTGTATCCCTGTCACCTGCCCATCTCCAGGTGCATCCATTCCTTCCTCACCCACAGTAACAGGCAGAGGAAGAGAGAGGTACCAGCCAATGCTACAGCAACACATTGAGATGTGTCATCCTGGCTTTTTGGAAAGTTATGCTCTGAGCCTTGCTAGGACTTGGAGTTAGTGTCTAGAATAACCTTTTAAACCTGAAACAAAATAACTTACAGCCACATATCCCTTGAAAGCTAACATAGTATTTTTTATATATGTATATATATATGCTACAGGTACAGTATCTCTCTAACTGTGGTTGATTCACATGTCTGTGACAGCTGGGATGTTGCTTCCACTTGGTGAATGTGTTAATACTGACACACGCACAGACTTCTGAGATGCTGAATAATTTACCTGTCATTCAGATTTTGTTGCTGACCTCCAGATTTTTCTGAGATGGGGCCCCTGTCTTGGTGGCCCCAATAATGCCCAAGTTCATGGCAGAGGCTGACAATTTTCACAATTTTTTTTTTTTTTAAAGTGATGATACAAAAAGATACAATTTTATTGATATGAAACCATTCTAAATGGGAAGCATATCACTATTTGATCACTGCACCCTTAGAAAATCACCACTCTCCCTGATTCTGTTGGCTGATTCCCAAAACATGAGCACACTGTCAAAAGCAACTTTCCGGTTTCAATTTTAAGTATTTATCCATATGTAATGTATAAAAAGAAACTGCCTGTGTCTATGCTCCTTTTAAAGTTCAATCTATTCTGTAATCTTTCTTCATTATTTGCAGTTTGGCTGTATGAAAGAAGCACCTGCTTGCTGAACAGGAACAAAGAAGTGAATGAGAGAGCTGAGAATTGTATCAGACAGGCAGCAGAATGTTGCAGACTAATAATCTTGATAATATAAATCCATTGCAGCATAGCAGAGATTAAGTATTATGTTGTGGTAAGGTAATGGTCTTTTGCCTAAATGAAATATGCAAAGGTAGGCTAAATTACTTGGAGCCGTAATAAACAAAGTCCTGGAACATAACTATTAATTTCACAAATGCCTTCTGCAGGTTGTAGTGTTGGCGAATAAAAATTCTGTTAAATAGAGACATGAAACTTTAAAAATTGATATATGTTCCTTCAGGCCCTGAATGTTCCCATTCAAGGGTTTACTCATACATGAGTCACCTCAAGAACAGGCCACGAGAGCTAATCATAAAGCATGTGTTTATGTGCAGAGCATTGGGGAACTATTTATGGGATTGCTAGAAAGAATAAAAGTTGAAGAACAGGCCTTCCACAACAGTTGCACCATCATCTAATTTTGCTTGTAAAGCTTTGTCTGCTATTTTGAACTGAATGCATCATCTAGGGCTGGACATACATGAATGCAGGAAAATTGCACCTAACCCCTTTCTAATGAGAAGAAAACAGCCTTTCCATGCAATTGATCTAAACATTGTTGAAGTCAAACGAAGGCTTTGTATTATAATCTTCCAAAGGTTTGGTTTTTGTTCTGTTAATTGCTTGGATTTTCTCTCTTTTTATGCATACTCATAGGTCACAAAATGACAGTGACAAAGAGCAAAGAGATTTGGAGAGAAGATTTCGAGAAAAAGAACCTGAGAGACAAAGGTATCGATTGGATGATGGCAGAAAGCATAGAGCTCACTATGAGTTTGACAAGTTTGTGAGAAGGAATGAAGAAGAGCTGAAATGGGGGAAAGGATACAATCAAGACAGAGGAAAGAAAGGGAACTACAGCTACAGCTTCACTGTGGAGGCAGTAGACAAACTGGGTAAAGAGGACAAGTGTGATGACATGGCATCCACAAAGGAGCGCATAAGAAATAAGGTTCTTTTATTCATTTAGGATAATCTTTCATTAGTTAAATATGCTTCAAGATCACAGGTTTTACTTTTCAAATTCAGCATGAAGATACTTTTTCAAAAAAAGTAATTCTTTCATTTTCACTCAAACACAGACTTCTTTCTGTTGTTATCAGAAGACAACAGCAGCTAAAATAAAGTTACAGGTTGCTCATTCATACTTACAATATATAGGGAAGACTGTCTATCTTCCTTTCAACCCTAGCACTTTTAGAATGCTATTCTTGGAAGCCTTGTATTTTACAAGCATATTGAAAAGAGTCATACTCCTGATCTGTAATGAAATTTTAAAAAAGTGGCATGCTAGTCTTAAAAATTTACTTGGATTACCCAGCTCGTAAGGGAATTATGGATTGGCTAGGCCTTGCTTGGTAAAGGAACTCTAAGGACTTAAGTAAATAGCTAATTCAGAGACCATTGTGTAGAGAGGGTGAGAATGCACAAATTCTTGAGTTGTGCTAGCTTTCATGCAAACTACAAGGTACTGTGATATGAAAAATCATTTGGACGCTTTACCATAAACTTTCAGTGGGCACTACTTGTCAAGAGGATCCAGCTTTATGCAGCTGTTTGTGATGCAGAAAGATGGATGTCAGACATTTCATACCATACTACAGAGTACTACCTAGAATAATCTGGTTGTATGGCCCAATAGTGAACCTCGTTATCTGCTCTAAAGAGATGGAGAAACAAAGTGGAGGAAAAAAGACAAAGGTGAAGGAAAAGGAAAGAAAAAGGGAAAATGCATACTAGGAATAAGAAAATGAAAGAACAACAGACTAGAATGACTTCAAATTACGAAGGCAATTGAAAATTAGTATGGTTTGATTTAGAACAGTTTCAGTGCTCTGCCACTGTCTTAAAATACGCTGTTTGAAAGCTCAGGTTTTGGTGAATGGGTTACTTAATAACATTAAAAAACTGGTGAGAGTAAACATTCTTATTTAGGAAAAGACTCCTTTAGCAGAGTTTCTAAACAGTGTGTTTTCATATTGAAATTTCAAGAATAAAACAAACTCTGGTGAAGTTTAGTATAGGATAATTTTCCAGTTGTTACCTGCTAAACTGTTCTGGTTTGTCTTTTTTTTTTTTTTATGCTTGTATTTTTCATTCATTTGCAGAGTTGCAAGTGTACAGGCTGTTGTTCTTGATGTTAGTGAAAGTAGCAATATTTTTCAGAGTTTCACCCATAATACTGTGTTTGATAATTGTCAGCACTATTTCTCCTTGTTTATGTCCAATCATAGAATCATAGAATGGTTTGGGTTGGAAAGGACCTTAAAATCATCAAGTTCCAACCCCCTGCCATTGGCACGGACGCCTCACCCTAGACCATGTTGCCCAAGGTTCTGTCCAACCTGGCTTTGAACACTGCCAGAGATGGAGCGTTCACCACTACCCTGGGCAACCCATTCCAGTGCCTCAGCACCCTCACAGTAAGGAACTTCTTCCTTATATTTAACCTGAACTTCCCCTGTTTAAGTTTTAACCCGTTACTCCTTGTCCTGTCGCTACAGCCCCTGATGAAGAGTTGCTCCCCAGCATCCTTGTAGGTCCCCTTCAGATACTGGAAGGCTGCTATGAGGTCTCCACGCAGTCTTCTCTTCTCCAGGCTGAACAGGCCCAACTTGCTCAGCCTGTCTTCATACGGGAGGTGCTCCAGTCCCCTGATCATCTTTATAGCCTCCTCTGGACTTGCTCCAACAGTTCCATGTCCTGTTTATGTTGAGGACACCAGAACTGCACACAATAATCCAAGTGAGGTCTTACGAGAGCAGAGTAGAGGGGCAGGATCATGTATCATAGGATCTTTTAAATTTTACAGCTTTCTTAACTTACTCAAAATGCCTGGCTCCCAAGAATAGCGTTACAAACAAGACAGATATTAAAGACTCAGTCAATTTTCATTACACTCCATTTTTTTTCCTGGGTTTAGGATATGTAAAATGATTTAACACAACATCTGCTTTCTTCACAAACATTCATCACTTAAAATCCCACATATGTATCCTTCAGAGGTTTCTCAGAGTGTTAATCATGCCTCCTTTCTTCCAGGATCGCCCAGCCATGCAGTTATACCAGCCAGGAGCTCGCATTCGAACACATACGGGATGTACAAGTAAAACCTATGACTGCAGTGGGAGACCTTTTGAAGATGCTCTTGATAAAAGGTATGAGGCAGATAATTCAGCTGGAGGGGGTTCTGAGAAGAGTGAAGAACCAGAATAAAACAAACTGGAGGAAAGACTTGTGGAAAGGGATGAACTTAAGATTCAGTGTCACTACACAAAAACCCATGGGGCAGTTCCAGAACTCCACAGGTGATTGCATCAACAAAATCAGCATAGTTCTGCCTCTTACTTTCTGTAAAGTAAATGGAAGAGTGACTGGAAATGTTTAACTCACTGCAAAGGAATATTGTTACTTTTTTACAAAAAGCAGCGCAAACACTATTTGCCTAATTTAAAAGCAGTTCAATATTTTATTAGATTTAATTTGAAAACCTCTAATACTTTTAGAGAAGTATTTATACAAGATTTTTCAGAAGCTATTCCACCTTTTCAAGCCTAAAGAGATGAAGGGTTGATTTTCATCCATTTGAAATCTGAGGCACCTGTCCTACAAATGCTGGCAGAAGTCGGGGCTGCTGCTGGGTGCTGCAGTAGGACAGAGTGGGACCAGCCTTGAGAGGAAGCTCTGGAACCAGGGGTGTTTGCAGGATGGGGCCCACTGCTTGCACAGCTGTGAGAGGTGTCCGTTGGTACCTGTACCTTGGTGTGTTTACATTGGTGTTCAGTTAACTGTAGTGTCAGGTACAGTATTAGTAAAGCTTCAAGTACCTTATTAGAGAGTTTCTCATTTTCTGAGCCACTTTCACCTTCTGTGTGTTAATAGATTCTTTTGCTTACAACAGCAGAAAGCTAATGCCCACCTCAGCACTTAAACAGTGTATCTGGTTTTAATAAATCAACTGGGTTTTATGTTTTTGACACTGACTTTTCAAAAAAAAAGGTGGTTATACAGTGATGACTTTTTATATGCTGATGTTTCATACATGCTGCAGTTGCAAGATTTGAACATGTATGACACATGAATGTTCTGTAGTTCTATTTGTTAAAGACATAAACACACATGAAAGTCAACTGCAAACTACCATTTTGTAAGATCTAGGCCAAATCCTGCCCTCTGATGCAGGCATATATGTGTCTGTGTATATATATATATATATATATATGTATATATATATATAATGTCTCTGTGTGTATCTCCCTATTGGTTTCAATGATAGCATCGTGTTTAATGGAAGGGCAGAAAATGTTCATTTATCTTTCATGGCTGAAAATGACTCAGTTGTCTTAAACTGAGACCTGCTTTGTTTGTTGAAGTTAAATAGTAAGATATTAATTTATTTTTACATCCTCTTTGAACATTATATTATTTGTCACAACATCCAATTGTTCCAGACTGAAAAATTATTGGTTGAATTTTCCCAAATGTTAAGCATTAAATAGAATAAAAAGCAAAAAGATTTTAACTATGATTTGGAGGCGTAATCATCTGCAATGTTTCCATCTATTACTCTAGAACAATTATGATCCTATGCTACTCTGTATTCTTCAGAAGCATATAAAAATAAGTTGAGAACTTGAATATCAAGCTAGTGAGCTGCCAGCTCAAATGACTTCAAGCTTAAGTAGAGCTGCTGCTAGAGAATCATTTGGGCTGAGCTCCATCTAAAGCCAAGTTCATCCTTACTGCAGAGAAAGGGTGTTTTCTTGGTGGCCTGGCTGAGGAGGGTGGCGTTAGCATGGATCAGGCTTTCCCCTCACTCAGTGGCAGAACCTTAACTGGGTGAGAGTCTGTTCACAAGCAGGTATTTCGCACCCATTGGCATGCCCAGGGGAGGCTGCAGGAGGGCTTTCACCTGTGAGAGGGACCCAGTGGACACACAGAAGCAGTGATTTTTGCACCAGCTTGGTACTTTTTGGCTTTCAGGCTGCTCCCCCACCTTCCCCTGAGTGCAAGGTGATGGGTACCTCTTGGTGGCATCACAGGTAATTAACAAATGCAGCTTGTTTAGCAATAATTTCATATTTGGGGCTTCTTAGTTTCCATCCCTTCTGGTTACCAGAAGGTGGGTGTCAGACCCCAGCTCAGTAAAAACTGTCAGGGTTTAAACACTCATGTCCAGCCCGTCAAGCTGCCATGACCTCACTGACTAGGATTTCTGCAGCCCATTCACTTGTTCTTGCTTTCCCATGAAGCCATCCTCCTGCACCAGGGCCAGAGAGCTTGGCCTTTGCCTTCTGCATCCACATGGAAGGAATATTCAGGCCTTTGGGATGTAGCTGCAGAGAGTGCACTAGTGAGCGTCTGTCCCACGGCTGCATCCTGAGCTGCCTCCAAGGAGACCCTGCTGCCTGATGGCTTGGCTATGCCAACAAAGGAATTCCTTGAACAACCTCTTTTACTCTGCAGGCACCAGCATCCATTCTCCCACATCTGAGAGGTAACATCCCAACTTTCCACAGCAGAGACATTTTTCCATCCATAGGTTGGTTGTTTTTTAAAAAAATATTCTTTAAAGGCATGACATACTTTGCATGTGTTCGTGCACAGGGTTCCTGCTCTCACTGCCCAGCTCCAGGCTTACAGAGGTAGGCTCACGGCAGCTTGTTCTTGCAGACCTCCACTGCGTTACACACTTACCTGTGTGCATGCATGCTCACACGCACACAGAGGTATACACACATTTGAATGGAAAATACCACAGGCTTTCTTTGCAGAGTCCTACCAGCTGAAAAACACTGATGTCTCCACCATATGGAGTATATGAAGATACATTCCTTGTCCCATTCAGAAAAAGAAAATGGGATACACAAGTAGCTAATGCTGGAAGTGAGCACATCCCGTTAGTTCAGCTGTGGGGATGTTCTCTGAAATCTCTGGATCCCAACACCATTAAGAAGTGCTGCCAGATTATCAAGGTGAGATACCACAAGCGGACGGGTAATGGGGTGGCCTCTGGGCTGCAAGTGAAAAAAAGAGGAAAAAAGTAGAAAGAAGTGGAAGAAAGTGGAGAAACTGGAAAAAGAGGAAACAGTGGAAAAAGTGGAAAGTGGAAAAGAGGAAGAAAGTGGGAAAAAATGGAGAAAGTGAAAAAAGTGGAAAAAATGAGAAAGTGAAAGAAGTGGAAGAAGTGAGAATGCATAAAATGTGGAAAAGTGGAAAGAAGTGGAAAAAGTGAAAAAGGCGGAAAATGGAAAAAATTAGAAAAGTGGGAAAAAGTTGAAAAAGTTGAAAAAGTGAGAAAGTGGTAAAAGCGGAAAAAAGTGAAAAATGTGGGAAAAGTGGAAAAAGTGAGGAAATAGAAAAAGTGAGAAAGTGGGAAAAGGTGGAAAAAGTGAAAATGGTCTAAAAAGTGAGAAAGTAGGAAAAAAGTGGGATAAAAGTAGCAGAAAAGGGAAGAGAAGGGCAGGAAAGGTAAGAAGGAGATGAGAGGAAAGGAGACCGGAGAAGGAAGAAAGAGAAAAGAAGAAAGAAAGAAAAATGAAAGGAAAAACGAAAAAGAAAGAAATCAAGAAGAAGAAAAAAAAAAAAGAACTAAGAAACAGGGAAGAGGAAAGGAGAAAAGAGAAAGGGGAAGAAAAATAAAAGTGTCTCACCACCCTCACAGTAAATATTTTTTTCCTAATGTCTAACCTGAACTAACGTCTAACTCTTTCAGCTAAAGCCATTCCCCCTTGTCCACAACAAGCCCTTGGTGAAAAGCCCCTCCGCAGATTTCTTGTAGCCCCTTTAGGTACTGGAAGCTGCTCTAAGGTCTCCTCAGAGCCTTCTCCAGCCTGAACGAGCTCAGCTCTCAGCCTCTCTCCTCAGAGAGGTGCTTCAGCCCTCGGAGCATCTTTGCGGCCCCTGGACTCACTCCAACAGGCCCACGTCCCTCTTGTACTGAGCCGCAGCGCTGCAGGTGGAGTCTCAGGGGAGCGGAGGAGAGGGGCGGGATGACCCCCGGGATGACCCCCCCTACCTGCCGGGTGCAGCCCCGCACGGCGCTGCGTGCCACGGGACAGCCACGGGCAGCCGCCGCGTCCTGGCGGTCCGGGATAGGAGGCGGCCCCGGGGCAGCGCGGTGCGGCAGCGACCCCTGCCGGCTGCGCGGAGAGCGCCCCGTAGCGGACAGGCGCCGCGTGACGAACCGGCGCGACAGCCGCGTCACGTGACTCGGCGGGCGGGCGGCCCTCTCAACGGGCTCCTCACCACCCCCCCACGGGCCCGGCAGGGGCGGGGCCGAACGAGCGACGGCGCTTCCGGTCGGCGGCGCGCGGGCCCGAGGAGAGGGGGAGCGGGCGTGATTCGGCCGCGCGCCTCCGCCCTGAGCCCCGCCCCCTCCTCCCCCTCCCGTCCCTCGCGCGGCCCGAGCCCGCGAGCGCTGCCGCCGCCGCCATTGGCGGGTGCGCCCAGCCCCTGCCCGGCGCCCGCTGCCGCCCGGGAGGTGCCTCAGCGGTGAGTGCGGGAGGGGGGGCCGCGATCGCGCCCCGCACAAGCACTGCGCTCCCACCAGCGGCCGCGGCCCGGCCCGCACCCCTCCCCCTGGGCAACGCGCCTGGGCCTTCCCCTTGCCCAGCCCCCGCCGCGGCGTCGCGTCGGGAGGGCGGGTGGCCGGGTCGGGGGGGGGGGGGGACGCGGCGGTGTCGCGCAGGCGGCGGCGAGTGGTGCCGGCGCGGGAGCACAAAACCGTCGGGGCGGGAGCGGCGGCTGTGCGCACGGGAAGGAAAGATGGGGGGTGTCGAGGCAGATCAGCCGGCGCGGAGGGGATGGGTGGCGGGTGAGAGGCCCCGGGCAGGGCCGAAGCCGGTGCCTGGGGAAAGCCCGGCCCGCAGCACTCGCTCCCCCAGAGGGAAAGCGGCAGCAGCGGCCGCGAAGCGAGGAGCCGGCGAGGCGCAGACCGAGCGGCGCTGTCCCGCTCCGGTGGGGAGGCGCTGCTAGACGCCGCGGTAGGACCTGTGTCCGCGCCGAGTCTCGGCGGGACCGTCCTCATCACTCGGGACAGAGCCGCTGCGCCGCCCGTGAAGCGGGTGCAGACCTGATGGCTCTGACCACGTCGCTGGGTCGCAGCCTCACGTCGTTAGGGATGGGCGAAGCGAGGTGACGGTGGTGTTTTGGAGCGACTTGTGAGCTGGCGGAGGCTCGTTCGTGTCACCTGCACTCACTTTCTGGAGCTTCGGGATGGGCTGGGGGAGCAGTAGTAGGTGGTGCGGTTGTCAGGAGGGTTTGATGCGTGACTGTGCAGAGAGGAGCTGTTAATACTGGCTCAGAAGTCTTGGAAGTAAGAGGAGTAACTGGCAGCTTGACTTGTCCCGAATTGTAGGTGAGGAATATAGAGACCTGGGACATCACTTTTCTCTTCCATAATCTCCCCTTGAACCATGCTTGCTTTCAGGAGAACGTAAACAGAATTATTCATAGAATCATGGAACAGTTAGGGTTGGAAAGGACATTAAGATCATCTAGTTCCAACCCCCCTGCCATGGGCAGGGACACCTCACACTAAACCATGTCACCCAAGTGTCATCAAGATACACAACCTGTCACAATTCCTGAACAGA